TTTACAATATTAGAAATTAAAATTGAGGAATTTAAAAGTACTTATTAATTTGCTTAAAATAATAACCAATTAAATGTTAACATAAATAACATTTTAAATATAACAACATTTTTTTCTAATACAAAAACTGATCAAATGAAAATATTGGTTTTGTTTTACATTGTTGCAAATCCCTTTAATGTCTGTTTTAATGTCTGGATTTTCATACCTGTTCTTCATTCCGTCTGTTCTCATATGTTGTTTTGGTTGAAATACGTGAAGAAAAGGTAGTGTCACACAGATGCATAGTTAGAAAAGAGTTGCAAGGACCTTGGGGATCTTTTGGCCACAACTGAGAACTGCTGGTGTGGGGTAATAGAAGTTTTCAGACTTATTTTGTAAAACAATATTTGCTATGCTCTTATGAGAACATAGCAGTACTAATTCTTTCTTCATCTATTAACAAATGTTTATTATTGATCTAGTCATCTAGTGCTCTAAGCAATAGAGGAATGTTGTTGAACAAAATAGTAACTGTCCTTATTCAGTTTACAGTTTACTTGGGAGAGACAGATGATTCAGCAGGTACATAAATAAACAAGATAATTTAGATAGTGACAGGAGCTTTGAAGAACACTCTTTTTGAATTAGCTCATTTAGAGCTAAGTCTTCAGGATGATTTCTCTTGAACAGTCTTCGGTAAAGAAAAAATGAATATGTTCTTCTTATGCTTCATAGGTAAACCTGCTATTGCTCATCGAGACATAAAATCAAAGAATATCTTAGTGAAAAAATGTGAAACTTGTGCCATAGCGGACTTAGGGTTGGCTGTGAAGCATGATTCAATACTGAACACTATCGACATACCTCAGAATCCTAAAGTGGGAACAAAGAGGTAAGATGACTGACTTGGGTAGCATAGTAAGATGTGAGAGTGCCCAATAAGCATGAATGTCCTCATGTGTGTGGAGGAGGCTCAGGTCCAAATGGGAAACCACTGGGCCCAAGAAATCCGGAAGTCTTCTCTGGGTCACTGAGAAGTTAGTGGGCATAATGGTTATAAAGCAAGGAGAGCTGGCATTTTGGGCCACATGGATTGCAGCCATTTAGCTACAGAGTCCAGTGGAGAGAAACGGCGGAAGAGATAGTGATGTATTATTTTTAGTGTGCCATCTTCTGAGAATGCATTTTCCTACAGATAAGAAAAAAAACGTCAGCAGTATGTAGCTCCTCCAAAGCCTTTATATCCCATAAATGAACTGAAACTCAGGACTAGTTCTACATATTCAGGTTCTGCACAACAGACACAGAATCAATATGTTGAAATAGATAGGTAGGGACTCTATATGCTGAATACACTTATGTGCTACTATATTGCCTTATTCTTTAAATCACAATTTATGTATTACCTATACTTTTACTTATCATTAAGTCTCCCAAATTGATATGTGTTAAGATAATATGAGTTTGGATACAGTTCCCACTTTCAAGGAACAGAATCTGAAGATTAAGAATGAGTGTGAAGTAACAACATATACCACACATGTGTCAGGTCAGGCCCATTAGGAATGGGATTTCTGGTGTTTTTCTTGTTATAGCCAGCCTTTGGCCATATGGCCAGCCTACTTCCAATTCTTTTTACTTGAATTTCAGGCTCTATATTACTTTGGCAAAATTCCAGAGTTCTTGACCTTGAAATTAGAAACAACCAAAATATTTTTTTGGAGTTGTTAAAGGCCCTTGAGAGTACAGAAATTCTAAGCTGCTATAGCTGGCCTTCAAGCCATATTTGAGATTCCCAGGACAGTGCCTGTGAATGCCTCTCATGATTCACTGGGAGACTTTGATGAGACCCCAGGAGCACTTCCGGGCAGTTTATTCACACTGGGTAGCCCTAAGGGACTTCTTTTCCCTGTGCAAGAAAAGCCTTAGCTCACCCGTCTGATTATCCCCACATCAGGAACCTTCAGGGAAGTCTTGGATGCTGGATTCCTTCAGAGGATCTAACACCCTTGCAAGAACTTGGGAGGATGTTGCATCCTCACTTCAGTATTCTGGGAAATCTCCAAAATCTCCCTAGTACAGTGAGGCTCGGTCAGGTCCATGGACTGTAGATTTCTTACACTGACTCTTGTTCAAACATGGCTATATTTTTTGTATAATAAAATTGTTCCCTGAGAGAAAGTATGGGTGGAGTGCTGCTGAGCACACTTGATGGTTGAGTCAATAATGTATTCTTTAATTTTATTCATGCCTCAAATCTGCCTTTTAAAATGGCATAAGCTATCCTAATTTATTAAGATTGTTTTACTGGAGTGCTATAAAGTCATACACAGAATCTGAAGTGTGCATGTTTTTGAAGGTATATGGCTCCTGAAATGCTTGATGATACAATGAATGTGAATATCTTTGAGTCCTTCAAACGAGCTGACATCTATTCTGTTGGTCTGGTTTACTGGGAAATAGCCCGGAGGTGTTCGGTCGGAGGTAAAATTTTGGAAATATCCTTTGTGTTTGCCTTTCCTTGATACTCTGAATACAAGATGTGATATTCTATCTTTTTTCCC